TATTCCATGTTCCATTATTTTGCGGTAACTCGTCCTCGTCCTATCGTTCAAGACCGGTGAATCTTTTGAGGCCAGAGAAGGCTCGAAGAGTTTGATATTCGGCGAGTAAATTCCCAGCAACGGCAGCGCGGGCCCCACAAACCTGGCAAGAGCCGTTCGACACCAGACACCCCGTACTTATTTAAAAAAAAAAAAATTAGGAACTCGACACAACGACAAGATCGAAGTCCACACCAGCCCGGGCGCACGCCTCACGCCACGATGGAGAGCGCCTTGACCTTCTCGAGCAGGTCCTTCGAGGCGTCACCGGGGACGCCCTTCACCTCCTCGCTGACGAGCTCCGCGAACAGCTTCACCAGCTCCCCGTAGTACTCGACCTGGGAGAAGATGTGCGCCTGGAGGCAGGGCTGGAAGTACTCCACGCGGTGGCCGTAGACCTGGGGCAGCTCCCCGTTCAGGTGACGCGTCCGCTCCCGCAGCTCCTGCTCCAACGCGTTCGCCTCGCGCTGGTACTGGTGCTGCTTCACCACGTTGTTTCCCGTGCGCTCCAGTCGCTGCAGCTTCCCGATCTTCGCGTTCAGCTTTTGGTACTCCGCGATCGCGTCCTCGCGCGTCTTCAGGGCCGAGTTCATGCCGGAGTAGACGACGCCGAGGCGTTTCACGGGCTCGTACACCGTCTTGTTGTTCCCCGTCACCAGCGTCGCCGCGCTCTCCAGGGCCTGTCGCAAAGCGAAACGTCACGATGCTGCTGACATTCTTCGGGAATTGGGGGGGTTACGTGAGGTGAACGAGAAATTTTTCCATCGACAACATGCAGCATCCCGCGATCGCACACTTAAGGAGGGAAATCCTCCACTGCACATTATCAAGAACTACAAGAAATGTCTCGCGTAAAGATACATTTCCAGACAGACTTTTCAAAATAAGCATTCAACGGCAAACGCTTTTATCAAGATACCGAAAAGGCGAATAGTGAGGCACCACGCTTCTATATGCTCAGGAAAACCTCACTTGAGCAAAGCCATTTTCTCACACCACTTTCATCAGTAGATTTCGTTAGGACGGTGGAAAAACTGCTGGTTTCATGCTACAGCAGTTAGACTCTCGCTCGCTTTCACGCTCATGAGCGCCAGCAGCTATCTGGCATTACCTTTAATTTTTTTCGAACGCGAAAAGTGATCAAAAGAGACGGATCGGTTAATTCGCTTCCACAAAATTCGACCGAATTTTGCGGAAGATACCGAGCAGAACAATTTATAAGAGGAAAAAAAAAAACATTCCCAACACTCAAGACGGGCGGCAACTAGGGGAATCTACATTTCTACAAGCAATTGCGATTTTTACAGGCATATGGTGTCCCCATATGCCTGTAATACCATACCCCAACTCCCAAGGGTAATGAAGAGACGTTGATTCCTTTTAAAATATCCAGTTTTATTTCAAGTATATAAAATTTTTTGCCAAATATCACATTGTCAGGCACGGGTTACAGAAAAGCACAGGCTTTCAAGATACTAAAGTTCCCTCGAACTTAAGCGTCCCAATACAGGATGTGCAGAAAACAAGGCATTCCACACATCCAAACATTCAGTCCGATACAACTCGGCGAGAAAAATCCAGTATGTACGAAAAATTTAAAATACGGCTTTTTGGTCAAAATTCTTCATGTGGGTGAATGTCTAATCTTGACTCGGAATAGTGATGTCTTTTTTAAAAAGAAGGCAGACATTCAAATCTTTAATTATAAAGCTGGCAATGGAATCGGAAGTGTTCTTATGAAGGAACTTCCGACTCGAGGAAACATCTCAGCACCAGATAGATTTAAAGAATCATGCCACCTTCAACAATGGCGAAACCCTTCCACCTCATGGTGTTTGAAGACTAGCGAATACCATGAATTCATACTTATTTTCTGGACACCCTATATGACCGCACCCTCCTATCACACGACAATCTTGAATTTCTTCTTTGCGTAAGCAAGGAGACTCTCATCGTCCTCGCACACGATGTCATTCTCGTACACACAGGGAAGATCGTGCCAGGAGTACTTCCCGCTTGGCTCGCCGTTAGCCTCTGGCTCAACCAAGGCGATGCAGTCCTCTGGGGCATTGGCGTTATCCGGCTGAGGGCCTTGCAGAAGGGGGAAAAATCGATTAGTTTTAAAGCTAACAGCAAAGTGAACGAGAGGATAGGGGTAGATACCACGAGTTCCAGCGGCACCCCAGTCGGTGAAGCCTTTGCCCTTGGGAGGGATCGGAACGGATGAACTGGCCCAGTACCAGCCGGTCAGGCGATCAGACCTCTCACAGCCCTTGAAATCGCAGAGACGACCAGAAGTCCACGTGTCATTCACCAGCCCGAACTTGTGGTCTGGAAAAGTAGGAGGAAAATAAATAGGATAGAGATCACAAGATCAGATCTGTCAGATGCACGTCCCAAAAGAAATTACCTTCAGAGATTTGAGCCTTGATGAACTCCTCCTTGGAGCGAGTGTCGAGAGCTACGAGCTCCATGCACATCCGTCGGCAGAAGTTCCTTCCATCCACCCACTTGAGGAGACGGTTGAACTTGTCGTCCCTCCAACTGAAGTAATAGTTCTGGCCCCCAAACCGTTCGTGGATGGGTCGCTCGAGGCAGGCTTCCTTCTGGGGCTTCAGTAGCTTCACCTGCCCCAGCGGGCCGTAGGGAGGGATGTTCTGCGACGGGACCGGGCGGGTCTTCTTCACGGCCGGCCTCTGGGCGGATTGGTTCCCGTCAGGGCGTTTCGGGAGGTTATCCCGGTATTCCTTGTACTTCTTTTCGTAGTCAAGACTGTCCTCGGTTGGGTATTTGTCGGGGTACGCATGCGGGGCAGTCTCCTCTTCTGTGATTTCTTTCTTCTTGAGGTGCACTTCCTCCGCTACTTTATCCAGGATCTTGGCAGCAAACGAATCAGTGACCAAGCACAAGAGAAGGAGAATCCTCGTATCTACGAAAACGCAAATAGTTTCGGATGAGGCACATGTGGAACTTCGTAAGACAACCGGCTATTCATACGACCGAATGGTACATTTATCAATCGACTCGTTCAATACCACTTAGGATTATGGACGTTAGCCCTAATGAGACAGTAAAAGGTCTCCAACGTACGTTAGAGTCAATGTATCCAAAAGGTGAGACACTAAACAAAAATGAAGAATGATCGAGTTTCAGACTCACCCATGATGACAGCTGTTCAAGATTCAATGCACGACTGCCTTTCCGAGCTCGAACTGGCTTGCCCTTTTGTAGGCCCACGCCAATATTCTCCCCAGCACTTTCGATCCCGGTCATCCTGAATTCGCGACGCGCAAGTTTCTCGAATTCCAAGACGGCGACACGACATCTCACGCGGCAAATCCTCGGCGCCGAGGACGGGGAAGGCCCGGAGATGCCCGGCGACGGGAAGCCCCGATCGGGGAAGGCAGGGTAGACCCGGCGCTGAATTTAAAACCCCGCGAAACGGGAGAAGTGAAAGCCTAGGGGCTTACTTCCCCCCCCCCCCCCCCCCCGCCCCCGGCCCCCCG